AGAGGCGCCAAACCTAAGAAAACCTGAAGACAACCGAGAGAAACCCGGGTTTAGGGTTTAGGGTTCAGGGTTTAGGGTTTAGAGTTTTGCTGTTTACGGTTTAGGGTTCGGGGTTTAGGGTTCGAGAGATTAGCCAGGGCCTTGAGGGCTTTGGGTTAGGCTTGGAGTTTTAGGGTTTAGGGCTTCGGGTGAGGATTGGGGGTTTTAGGGATTTGCGGCTTAGGGCTCGGGGGCTTTGGGTTGCGGCTGGGGGGTTTCGGATTTAGAGGAAATGGCGAAGGGGTTTGGATTCAAGTAGGGTTTGGAGTTTTAGGGTTTAGGGTTTAGGAAATTGGGGGTTAAGTATCTAATTAGGGTTTGGGGTTTAGAGTTTAGTTTAGGGGTTTAGGGTTAGGGCGTAGGGTTTGGGTTGATTATTCAATTAGGGTTTGGGGTATTTGGGGTTTAACTGGGGTTCAGGGTTTGATGAGGGTTTAGGGTTGGTTCATGGTTTAGACGGTCTTGGACGGCTTTGGCAAAGGCTTTGGCGGGCTATACTGTAGTTTGGGGTTGTACGATGCATTGTTTACGGGTCTTGCGTAGGGTTCCAAACCGCAAACCTCTTGTATTATGAATAAGTACAAAAATAGTCCTTAAGGGTTCTTTATTATGTCAATGTTTATAGTTTATACCATACATTTCCCCGAAACCCTACTCTAATCATTTAGGCGCCTCAGCTTTCAGCCCCAGAACAAATTGAAAAACAACAAGATTTTTCAGAGGGCTCCAAAGGTGGGACGAAGTAGGTGGGATGATCCCCAAGAGCAGAGTTTTTATAGAAGGGGTCCTTAACCCTAAACCCTAAACCGTAAACCCTAAACCCTAAACAGATGCTACCTACCTTCATCCCAGCCTTGGAGAACCCGAAAGCCGCGAAACCCCAAAGCCCGAAACGCCAGAGCCCTTCGACCATACATCCTCCCGTTGCAGTAACCCTCATAAGGCCTTGTAAAGCGCGTTCTTAGAAAACCTGCAGTTCTCGGAGGGTCTTGGGGCTCGAGCCCCTCCAAGGACAGCGCGGCAGCGACTTCCGCGTTGCAGGCACCCCGGCCCCTCCTCCTCCGCCTCCTCCTCGGCCTCTTCCTCCTCAGCCTCGCATGATTAGGATTCAGCGCTCAGATTTTTTGTGGTGTTTGAGTTTTGGAGTGGTTTGGGGGTTCGGGTTTTAGTTTAGGGTTTGGGCCTGGGGTCTACAGTATGGAGTCGAGGTTGGGTGCAAGCCGAAAGCCCACTCAGTTTCGATACCCTAAGCACCCCCAAAGCCCTAAACCCTCATCCCTAAACCCAGCAGTAAACCCGAAACCCAACAAGTCGCTAAGACCTAGGCCCTAAACCCAACCTTAAGCCCTAAATCCTAATCCCTAAACCCGCGAAACCCTAAACCGGATAAGCCCTGAACCCACTAAGCCCTCAGGCCCTGAAGAAGGTTGGCAAGTCCAAAGCCCAGTCCCTCGGCAGATCAGGATCAGACCTCTCTTTGAGTTCGGTGTTGGGGTCTAGGATGGTTAAGGGTCTTGGGGTGTAGGGTTTGGGG